CTTCCCCCCGTCCCTCGAATCGTTTGCGCAGCGATGGACCCACCCGCGCGCGCGAGCTTGAGTATCGAAATTCCGGCTGCGCGCCCCACCCCGAAAAAGGAATTCCCTCGTCGCGGCGCCGCGCCGGGCATCCGCAGCGCGTGCATCGGGCGCAGAATTCAGGAGAAACGAAAGGACGTCTATCTCGTCTCTCCTCCGTTGGGCCGTTGGCGTGGGTCAGTAGACGAGATACCCCCGACGAAGGAAAGGGGGCTGGCAGAAGGGGGAGGAAGGCCAGTGGGATATTCGATACCGAGGAGCATGGATCGCGCGCGCGGTCTGAGCGGAGTGACGCTGGTGCCACCCTAACGTGGCACGTGGGGCGCTACCAGGTGTTGCCTAGACATCGGGTCGATGCCGAACGCAGGCGCATGTGCGACTCCCGTTCTCTCCCTTTTCGCCCCCTCGCCCCACCTTCGTCTCTCCTCTCGTCACCCTCTCGCGCGTTCTCCGCGTGCTGCTATCGCCCTATCGCTTTCCTCCCTACTACGCTCGTGCCGCGCCACCCTCGTTTCTCCTCGTTTTTGCACAAGGGGGAGATACATCCCTGCGTAGTATCGCCCCGACGTGCGCCACCCTTGCTTGCACTACCACCACCACCGTCGCCGTCGCCGCACTACCACCGTTGTCGGCGACAACAAGTAGACGACGTATATCGCCTTGGTATCGCTACTATGCAGCCAATCTTCTGTAGGAATTACCATCTACCCTCTCTCTCTCTTCCATTCTCTCTTTGTCTCGCTTGAGAACGAGAGAGAGAGAGAAAGAGTGTGTGTGTGTGTGTGTGTGTGTGTGTGTGTGTGTGTGAAAGAGAGAGAGAGAGAGAGAGAGAGGAGGAAAGAAGGATAGAAAAGGAAACGCTCGTCGTAACGCCAGGAACGAGGCTCGGAAACGTGGTCCCCCGACCAGCTGTTCTCTCTTCGATTTTTGCAGGAGTCCCGGGATACGCGTATATGCGTGCGTGCGTATACGTATGTACATGTGTTGCGCCGGACGCGGCACGGTGCGATAAACAGCGGCAGAGTTTGCGAGGAAAAGATTTACAGATAGCTTACGCTTAGCGCGTTGCATAGCGCTGAGGTCGATGACCGGATCGAGAGTCTTTGCCAGTTTACCGGAAATCTCGTCCCCGATTAAACCATCCCTGGAAAGTCCGTCGCACACCTCGCGGCCAGACAATCGCGTTTCTATCTACTCAGGATATATACGTATACTCTTATTTGCAATTATATGATATTGTAGATTGCAGAGAATTGTAGAGAAAATGGAGAAATAGCAAAAATTGCAGAGACTGTTATCGATTCTCTGAGAAACAAACTTAATTAGCCCGTAAATTTGTTAAAACACAACATAACAATTAAATAAAGTTAGATAATTGTTAAATAAAATTAACAAATAACTAAACTTCGCATTGTTACTTATAATAAAAAAATGTGACAAATATATATAGAATCGCAGAAATAGCTTTAGTTCAGCGCTCTTATTCAGAATAAATGCAAGCGTGGTGAAGAGTACAACGTATTGTAACTGCGGCTTCCTATTTTACATTTTTCCAATCTTCTTTTTAAATCAGGCTGAGCGACCCAGTCTACGTAGTGAGCTCCAAATACGTGGTGCAACATAAATTCAACTTTACGCAAAGTATGGTGCCGCGTGTGTACGTACTAAGAATACGAAATCATCGTTTACATAGGCAAAGCGAAATATTGCAGTTGCAATATACAGTTTATGTCGCTGAATGTGGTATACATCGCCACTTTTTTCTTTCTTTAATTTAAATATGACTTAATTTTTAATAATTTTAAATGATGCGTAGGTTTCTATAATATGCATGTCTAAAAAACGTTTTAAAGACGTCTGTAAGACGTCTTAAAAATCCTTAACGTCTTAAAAATAATTTTACTCATGACATCTTTAAACGTATATGCAAATGTCGCATCATTCAGCCGTTAGATGGCATTCGATGAAATCCGTTTCTCGTACGTAAAATATGATGAGCGGTGGTATATAGGAACGGTGTATAAATCACGGTACAGCACAATTTGTATCAGTTATATAGAGTCTCAGTCAGCACGCATGTCCAAAATCGGGACATAAGACATCTTAAAAACGTCTTTAAAGACATCTTGGTAGACGTCTTACAAAATGATGGCTAAAAGACGTCTTTAAGGTAGCTGTCTCGCTACGTGCTAGTCATGTGACTGTTTGTAGGTTTTCACGTTCAGAAATATATTTCAGGCAATTTTTGCTAAGGGAAAAATAATTTTATGAATTATGGTGTAAAATTTCATACGTGACAAAGTATGTTACTTTTTCCAAATTATGTGATTTTTCTCATTTGACTCCGTTTTGATCAGCTGATCATGCGAGTCGTCGAGAAAGGTTACAAGTGAGGTTACATCTTCTTTTCGATTGAATTTTGACAATTACTGAGAAAGGGTTTCAAAACGCATGACAGGGGTGTCAATCACTATCCAATTCGGCTAAGAAAGACGAGCCCCATAACCTGCAACTACAGTGATTAGCCAGCGGCGTTGCCAAGTCTTCCCAACCTCACCTCGACCAAAAAATGTCTGCTCGATTACCGCATTTTCACTAAAATAAACTAAAAAATTAGCAGCGAAATCTCCGGTAACCTATATATTTTATGGTTGCATCGGATTCTTCGAAATCTAATGTACAAAAAGCAATGTTTTTTTCTCACTTCATCTAATCGAAAAATACGAAAATATGTGATTGAAACCGTGATAGAGCCTTCTTTTCTGTATGAAGTAATGCAAAATTTGTGATTTTCGAGATCGATTTTCTAGAGTAAATAGTCGGTAAGGAGCCACAGAAAAAATCGACTGCAAAGCTGATCATATAATTTGATATAAAAACCGAAATCGAAAACTTTATCTAATACATGCCCTGACGAGACAACTACCTTAAGATGTCTTACGTCCCGATTTTGACCATGATGTTATTGTCTTGGAGTTCACTATTATAATAAAGTAGCATATTTTTTTTAGTTTAATAGTATATTAATTACTACAAGCAACGCTAGCTCTTCCTTTGTATTTTTTAAATTATAGACAACATGCACGTTTAAAAAAACGTCTTAAAATAATGTCTTAAAAACATTTATACGACAATGTCTCTAAGACGACATTTATCGAGACATAAGACATCTTAAAGACGTCATAAAGTCGTCTTTTCGATAGTTCCATAAGACGTCTTGGAAATTTCAAGGCCCTTTTAGACATACTTGGGACCTCTTAAATGTTCACTGGGGGTATCATTTTTGTAACGATTCTATTTTAAATATTATATATCTTTATAATTAAGCTTTAAATTAACATTCTATTAAAAAGAGACAGAGGGAGAGAAAATGAACTAAAAGTTTATCCAAAGAATATAGTTTTATTAATAAAACTCTGAGTTAGTTTAGTTCGTAAAGATCTGATGTCTTTTTTAATCGTTTATAATTCGAAAATTGTGGAATTATGTATCCGTTTTTGCTTTAATAAAGAAATTGATTTTTCTCCCTGTCCAAAATGTCCCCCAGCTTTTTACGAGAGTGCGCCGGCCGCCGATTAACGACTGCGATAACGTGCAAAGAATTCGCGTTCTACGCCACTGACAATGGCAACACACGCTTGTTCCCGTGCCACGCGCGCATATCACGTACGCGCAACCACAACGAGCGACCTGCAGAAATCGAGAACCGACATCAGCACTTTCGAAGGATAGCTATGCACAACCCCTCGTACGAGGAGCAGCAGCAGCAGCAGCAGCAGCAACGGTGGCGGCAGCAGCGCCATCCCTCGATTCCGTCCATGCACAGGGGAGCCGCAACGGAGGGACGCCGGGGGTGCTGCTGACTAGTCCAGCCTGCAGTGAGTGACGAGGACAACCTCATGAGCGTGACAGAGGTGGAGGCCGCCGCGCCGCGGAGAAGGGATAAAGGGCCGAGGGGATGGTAACGCGGAGCGGCAGCGCCACCGACTAAACAGTCGCACCCCGTCGTCACCGTCGTATTCGAGGCCACCCCCTGTCACTGGCGAGAGCCGCGACAGGGAGCGACCGGAAGAGTATCGGACGGACGGGCGGGCGGACGGACGGACGGACAGACGGACGGTTCTCAGTCAGTCAGTCAGTCAGTCAGTCAGTCAGTCAGTCAGTCAGTCGGTCCACTCGGCAAGTCTCGGGGCGCAAGAGAAAAGTCACCCCCCCGAACAAACACGCATACAGACACGTACACAGTATCACACGAATATACATAAATTCCCCGCGTGCACACGTTGCACAGGCATATTTACTCATCGTACGAGCGCAAACCGGAGCGGACAGTACGGAGTATAAAGTAAGTCTCCTCAACAATCACCCTCTTGAGCGGACGTGGAAAACTAAAAGAGACCGGAGGAGACTCGCGAGGATTGCAGGCCGCTGGCGAGCTGGCATGGTGGCGGTGGTGCATCCGTTTAAGGAGCCGCCCTCGCCGCGCCGATGACGAGGCTGCAGGTGCCATACCAGCGCGTACCACGTAGGACGAAGGCGAAGTCGGCCAGCGAGCGGCCACCCAACCGAGACGGTTTCATCGTCCACCGGTCGTCCGACGGGCCGCAACCACCACAGACGGCCGGGCTGGGTGACGGACGGGCGCGACGTAGACGTCGACGTCGCGTAGACGACGACGGCGACGACGTCGTCCGCGGTATAGTAGGCGTAGCAGTCAGCAGCGACGGCGACGGACGCGCCGTAGTCGCGACGATCGTCGATCGTGACGACGTCGGTGGCGTCATCGGTGCAGGTGCGGTTGGTGCTGCGGTTGTTGGTGTTGAGCGTGTCGGTGGTGGTGTACCGCGTGGGTGTCCCGCTCCGAGGTCGAAGCCGCCGTTCCTGGTGACCGGGCCACCACGACGACGACGGCAATCGTCATTGCCAACTACTACCCCTGGTGTCGGCGGCCTTGGGACAACGGATCTGTATTGTCATTATGCCACGCTGTCTCATGGCGAAAAAGTGGAAGTGGAATCAGTGGCAGGCGCGCGTGGACGATCAGCAGAACGAGCAGAAGGACGCGACGCCACTCGGGGCCGTTCTGCAGGAACAACAACAGGCGCAGCATCATCAACATCACGCTCTACATCAGACCGCGGATGCGATGGAGAAGCGCAGGCATGAACCCGAGGACGAGGAGATCGACGTGGTCGGAGACGTCGATAATCACCACCAGGTCGATCATCAGCAGACCTGTTGGGGACCGCACAGTCCCACGGCGGGGGCCACGGCCCCCAGTCCGCCACCCCTCAATGCCTCCGGCGCCCTTTACTATCATGGTAAGTGAAGCTCACAAGGGGCCCTTCCTGCTCGCTTCAGCCCCCGCGGCAGCGTGACGCGGTCGCAAGAATCCACCCGCTTTTACGCGGCGTATACCGCTTGCGGGGTGTAGGGTTAGACGCGCCACGCCCAAGATCGTGGGGTTTTTTCTCCAGGAACGTTTGCTGGGATCTGCGAAAAAAGGACAATGTGGGGATCTCGTCGTTTTTCTTTCTTTCGTTTATTTCCGCGGAAGCCAGTTGTTCCTACTCCGAGATGATACGGCGGTGTTCGACCATGCGTCCGAGCACGCAGGGTGACACACCCGTCTATTACACGCCAGCGTGCGCTATAGACAGATTGCGGTAGCTGTTTAAACGCGCCATGATTACGGCAGCACAATGGCCCGTCGGGAATGCGGGAAAGATAGGCCCGTTAAAGGTCGTGGAATCGTGCGTGATTACGCGATCACGTTTCCGCGACCTGTGGGAAACCGCCCGCAAAGTAGTCGGCCATGTGTCCGCGTACGATACATGCGTACATGGCGACACACCCGTTCGTAGATCGTCGATCGCATTCGACGTTGACGAGCGTTCGGCACTCTGAACATTGAGTCACGAGCCCAATATATCATTAGACTTATTTCGCTTATCGCATTTATTGAACTCTCTCAATCAAACAGAGTGGAAGTTGATTGCGTTGACGTCGGGGGTTGTTGTGTAACCGTCCGCGTATCCAGAACGGTCGAATTGCTTTTGTGACGTAGATGCTGATGAGAATACGCCTATACGATACGGTTAAGTGGGCTATTTGTCGAGTACTCTTCGTGAAGCTTGTTTTTGCATTTATACCTTAATTGCTATAATAACATTGTGTGAATTCCGTAATCGTACTACATATGAATTACGTAATCGTACTAAAAAATCTGAGGAAAGCAGTTCTTTTTTAGTATTAGCAATTTTAAAACATTCGCAACAATTGGAAGGCTTTTTAAAGTAAAAATGCTTGGACACTTCCTAAATTTTTATTATTAAATTTTTTATTTGATATATCACATTTTCTCATACACACAATAAAAAACTTTGTATTAAATTTAACACATTTTATATGTCCGAATTTGTCCACTCTAATTTTCATGTTAATTTAATAGAAGACAAATATGTGTAAATAAAATAAAAAATAAAAATATAAAAAATTAACACAAAATTGTAACACGTGGACGTTATATAAAAGCAAAGTTTATGTTAAATTAACGGATAGATTTCAATACAAGTACAAAATGTTTTTCTTTTACTATGTATTTATAATGTTCAATTTAATTAAAATAAAATGTTATTCTTATATTAAATAATGTTATTCTTTCTTCTTTTTTCTTTTTCTTACAGAAGACAGAAGACAGCGTAGCAATATATCTCTTTATAATACCTATATAACATAAGAAACATGTCGATTTAACAGATAGGAACTCTTATAGAGAGAAAAGTAAGACAATCTGTTCATTTTAACATATAAATTGTGTTATTTTAAATCTTAGAAATGGTGAATATTAACGCAGAAAAGTCAAAATAACACAATGACAATATGTTACATTAACACAAGTGTATGTTAAAAATTTCTACACGGATAGATTTCAATACAAGTACAAAATGTTTTTCTTTTACTGTGTATTACATTTTAACATATTATCATATATGTGTAAAATACATGTAAAAATACAAAAGTAGCAGAAATTTCTTTCTACCATTTAGGAATGTTATTATTATTATTTAATAAGATAAGTGTCGTAAAATAATATAATAAAATTATTAAAAAATTTATATTCTTGTTATAATATGTGCGACACTTACATGAATTTACTTTGCAAAAATCGGGCATATATAAAAATTTTGCCTGCACAAGTCGAACGCTAACGCTTTGAAGCTAACGCCTATAAGTATTCTTGAAAGCCAGGACTACAGAGTAACGACCTCTTTTTATCTCATTTATGTAGCTTATAGACAGTGCAGTGCGCACGTGCTCGTACAATGGCGCAAATGACGCTGTTATGTAACAAGTGTTCTCTGCGTGTCGCTATGTGCCTCACACGATGTGTGACTACGATTGAGTTTTGCCAATCAATTTCTTTAACACTTTCGACACAATTCAAGATTATGCGAGACTTTAGTGCAACGTTCACCAAAAAAGCATAAGATATGTATTCGAGTAACTTTTGATCGAGAAACTTGATCGAGTGTTTTTTTTCAATAAATGTTTAAAATAATTGTTTTTAATTAACATCAAGTAATTTTATATTTAATATAAATTTTTCAAATCTGAAGAATATTTTACAACGAAACTTTCGTCCATAAAATAAAGAATTTTGTGCCCGCCATTTTTTATGTACAAATTTTTTATCGTAATTTTTAATGTTTAAAAAATGTTAACAATTATTTATGTGTCTGCACACATTTGTAAATATTAAATAAAAAAATTATATAAAAAGTATCATAAAGTTTATCCATTATCGCAGAGATTAAATTTCTAACAGGATAATAAATTACAGTCACGCAAGAAAAGCGTAAGGACTTACGTCTGTTAACAGGTTTCATCGTCCTTGACTTTCGTAGCGCGATTAACGATTGGTTTTTACTTACTAAACTACTACTAAAGTAATATAATATGTTATGTGATATGATCTCACTACATTTTTGACCATTGCCTCTGTGAGGCAAATTCGAGGATAATAATATTTCTTATAGCATAAAATATCTTAGATAGAAATGATACTATTAATCTTCCCATAACTTATCGTGAAAGATATAATTTAATTAGAAAGTCTAAACAGCTCGTTGAAATTATCCACACGCATAAAAAAATTTTATTACCAAGATTTCATTATGGTTATCTGACATTTTTTTAAATTTATGTATTTATATTTCCTGTTTATTAAATATAAAATATTAAATATAATACACATCTATCGCAATACAATAAATTAAAGTTTTAATTTCTTTTATTGTATAAAATTTCTTCATACAATCAATTATCATATAAATATTATTAGATGCTTATTTTTTCTCTAGGTGCGAGAATAAATAATAGCTATTGCAAGTAATTCAACAGTACAAAAGTATTACTTTGTTTAATTATGTAGACATAGTTTGATAGATCAAGTATAATTATTTATACTTGCTGTTTTTGTTTTGCGCACACAGGGTCGATAAAGATCAGAGGCGATAAACCGACAGGAATGTGCGGAATGTTCATTCAAGGTATATAAATATGCTTTATGGGCTATATCTGTGATCTGTGATAGATAACGTAGATATAGAATTCACCTAGAAGTCATATTAGATATTCCATGCCACCTTATACATCACTCTACATAATCATTTCATTGTTTCCTAATTATAAGATGTTAAATTAGATAGAGCCAGAAATTATCACGGCATTAATATATAAATCTGATTTAATCCGATACTTTGGATAAGAGATTCTTCGATTTATTAAAAGCGGACCTTTTTCATTTTTATTCCGATGATAATAATAACGCCAGCGAAAATAGTAAATTCTTCATTCGTTTAAATACTTTAAATTATAGTGTTTCGGAAAAGTATTTCTTATTAATCAAAGAATTGTGAACAAGTACCATTTATAGCCAAATTATACGCCGATATACATATAAATAAATATAATAATGAACTGTAAGAACGAGATCTTACAAGTTACATTCTTTTTTCTTTCTCTTTCTTTTCTTCTATGATATCTTTTATAAAAACGTTCTCTTTTAAATCCACTTACGTGTTCTATAAATATAGACAGCGCACTCAGTGACTGCCCCAATATGACGAAACGTGCAAATTAATTAATAAATAAAAATCTATTAATTTTTGCTATCGCTGTCGCGTCGCTTCCAACATACTTCAATCTTCGGGTCGCCTGAGAGAAAAAAAAGACCGGATCGAAAGGAAAAGCTCGGCATTAACATTAAACGCAACGGAGATTTTTATCGGTCTTTAAAAGGGCCTAGAATCAACGGACTTGTGGGAGCGCGTGCGGAGCATTCATTCGCCGTTATTGATTCCCCCCTCGCCGTCCCCATACAACCCTCCTGCACGCCCCGTGCTTCACCCTTCCCTCCTCGACCCGCCGCACAACTACGCTCCTTCTGCCGTTGATAAAATGCACTTGCAGACACGGTCGCTCTCCTTTACCTCTGTGTTGACTTCCCTTTATTTCAGCCAATAATAGGTACGCGCCAGTTGATCGATCGCGCGCGCAGCACACTTTTCTGATTTATCGCGAGTGCCCGCCTTCTCCTAGAACTCTCGCAAGGGTCCGTCGAAGGGAAAAATAGTACCTTGCGGGAACAGCGTTTGGTACGAGGCGCGTCTGAAGTACGTGATGATTCTTACTTCTTGTTGATGACTAAAACAGAGTTTTTTTAACATCAAAATGCGAAGTTTATTAACTATAGCTGACGGAGGAAAAAAATGTTTAAGCAAATTATGTTTGGACTGAAGCAATAATTTTATTTATTTTTTAAATTAAAATATAATACGCGGGCAATAAGAGCCAAGCGTGCCGTTTTACCGCTGAAATTTATTAGAAAATACATGTGGTAAAAAATTACGAACGGGCCTTTACATAGCTATTTATTTTTTTAGCTATTTTTATTTAATAAAAATGTTGACTTGAAAGGGGAAGAGCGCACAGTTATTTAAATATTCAACGCTTCGGAAATTGTAAAAATAGATTACAAAATAAATTTCCACATGAAGGAAAATTTTTTCGATAAAGCATATTTCAATAAAAGACTATTTTTTCAACAAGGTAAAATATCATCCTGTTCGTTAAATATGCCTATTGTCGAATATAACAACAAGAAAACGGATATATTAAAAGTAATAGTTAAATTATTATTTAAAAAACAATAGATATAAATTTTTTCAGAAATAGAAAAAGCTCTCGCACAAAATTGTTCTTCATTAAATTCCTTCTTTGATAAAAATTATTATTAACCGTTATTATTAATCATAGCTTTGCAATATACTTTAAAATAAACTTTTTAATATATTTTGTGATAAAATTCAATTTTCTTTTTTTTTTAGCACATATATTCGTGCTATAATACTTTTTCCACATAATTATTTGGCTTCAAGAAAAGATTGAGTCTAAAAGAAATGTCCTTTCTGTAATGATGATCAATATATAACTGAAATTATTGAGACGTTTAAATCAAAGATATGAAAACGGTCATTAATTCCCTGCGTAACAGTGTCTTCACTGCTTACGGCATGGGCTTTCGTATTACGTAATCCGCTGGATGGCACGCGTATCGATTTCATGGCGCAAAACGTCGAAAGTCGTGTTACGTGCTCCATCGCATTGTCAGGAACAAATAAAAGAAACACAAATGGAATTTAGACGGCATCAATAACTAATAACAAGGTACCATCCTGATATAAAGAATTGTACATAATAGCGATTTAAAACGATGCGATAGAAGACGCGAGCTTATCCAAAACATCTAGAAATCGACAAATCTCGAAGAATATACAGGGTTCTCCAGGTCAGGTCAATGAAACTTCAGGATCTCATAGAAAATTGAATTTGAAACAAAAAAGTTCCTATAAACATAGATCCGGAAACGCTTTGTTAAAAAGTTAGCACGATGGAGGGAGTCAATATTGCATAAATGCCAAAAGTGCATTAATTAAAAATTATTTTTCTTTTTACTTTTAATAAAATTGTTGTCCTTCTGAATGGTCTTATTAATGTATAACCTTTGTAATATCCCTTTTTTAAAGTAAATTTTGTAACGAAACGTTTGCGGATGTTTATAAAAGCTTTCTTGTTTCAAATTCAATTTTATGTAAGACCTTGAAGTTTCATTGACCTAGAACACTCTGTATATATCATATTGTTATTCCACTATCATTCGCTTAATAATAACGTCATGTTAATTTTGTTAAACTTTTTGTAGTTTTGTTTTAATAAGTATTATATATCATCATACTCTATCATCTACTTTTTTTCGCTACCATGCCATTATAAAAGATAATGCAAAATTATACTTACATACGCGAAGATTGAACTGTGATTAGATGGATTAATATCAATTTTATAATTACCTAAAATTTACAATAAAAAATTCTAACTGATATTAACCGATGAAAAAGCGTGACTGTAAGCGTCAGAGAAATGCCTATTTTATAATTTGGCAAAATTTGGCGCTGATTTATAGAATATATTCTTGAAATATCGTTAGCACAAGTTTAGAAAACGTGGTAGTTTTGCGTACAAATTTCAACATTTCAATGAATTTCCTAATCAATTATTTAAAATCCTTAAAATAGACCTATTGTAAAAAAAGCCTCTAATTGTAAGAATAAAATTCTCAATGGTTGAGGAGCTGGTATTTTTATTGCGATGGCTTAATGATGCGTACTCTCATATAACGACGATAAAAAAGTAGAGTATTTGAAAGAACACGTTGTTAGACGCCGTTTGCATTCCGCTTGAATTCTTCCCGATTTTCCCTCTGCCTCTGTGAACAGCGATGTGAGCTTCGCATTTCGTCCCTAGACAACCCTGGCGCAACAGCGAGCGACGTGCAACAGATACGTACCGCGTTATTATACACCCCCGCGTTCACGTGCCGTGCGCTACCACCACTACTAGCGCACCCGGACTCCTGCACCCGACTTTTTTTTCCGTCCCCTTTATGCCCGTTAATGACCGTATATGGTGGAAACAGCTGGCGCGCAGGAAATGAAACGCCACGCAACTCTCGTGAGTGATTCACGAACTCGAATATTCATGCCGCCGAGAATGAGTGAGATGTTATACGTGTATGCACCGCACTTTCGTTACCCTTTCGCCTCGTTGTGTCGCGAATGTTTCATTCGAAAAAATTCTCAAGGGGTTATTATAAATTGGATAGCAGTTGCTGTCCGTTTCCACTACGAACGTTTCGAGCATTTTGTGTCAAATATGGTTGTCCGATTCGCATTTTATGTTTGCGCACTTTACGACTTACATATTGAACAAATTAAAGTCAAATTCACATATATCTTATCAATAAATTATAAGAAAAAATACGTAGTAGATAAACAAATAAACGGCAATATTCCAAACTTAGGATTACTGGATCGCTGATGCATCCCGACCTCTCATTAATTAGTAAATTTAGTAGTTTAGAGCACAAATTATACACAGAGCGTACCGAAACGCTTACTCTTCTTTTTGTAAAAGACATAAAATAAATCACCGTCATGATCAAACGCAAATAATATCCCTGATGATTTTATCGGTATTTATGAAAAAAGAAAGATAAGATGCTTTTAGTCCATTGCCTATTTATTATAAATTATGTTTATAAATTGATCCACTTTTTTCCCTCTTCCAGGCTACACGCACGAGGCATGGATCAATCACGAGGAGCCGCCCAAGTACGCGACGCTACGCTCCGCGGCGGAGCTAGCGCGTCCGATAGCACCGTCGCCGCCGCCTCCGGTCGCGCAGCAAGAGCTACCGGTTCCAGTGCTGACCGGGCCGGGTCTGCACCAAGCGTCGCCGCATCAGGCGACGGTCATCGCCACGAGCCCGTCATCATCGTCGTCCTCGTCCTCGTCATCGTCCACCGCAGCGTCGCTATGCCTGCCGCCGCGAAAGAGCCTCTCGATGTCCTTCACCAGCACCGGCACGGCGCTCTCCTTACCGCCGAAGAAGAAGGACATCTACCGTCCTTACAGTCTGCAACCGATCTCGGAGATACGCACGTCCGCCGAGGAGGACCTGTCCGCCGCGCAAGCCATTCTGGATCTTAGCGCGTCGCCTGCCGCACCCACGCATTCCGTTTTTATTCATACCCTGTCGCCACCGCCGCCGCCACCGCCACCACCACCTCCGCCCGCCGCCGCCGCTGTTGCTGCAACGCCGAACGTGCCCGCATCGCAACAGCAGCAGCAAGAACAACAGCAACAGCTACAACCAGCGCCGACAACGGGTATACAATCCATACCGGTCTCCGTGCTCGTGCCGGTGCCTAGCTCGCAGACCAATCAGCTACGCCAACAGGAGCAAACGCCACCGCAGCCGCAGTCGCCTGCAACCGCGGAAGCCACCGGCGGAAACTGCAACGTCGGCAGGGATAGGTGAGTCTCGTATCTTCAACAATTTAACTCCCTTCCCCGTTTCACCGCCTCCTTCGGAGCAGGAAAGTGGTAATTTCCAAATTGTGAAATTCTGACAGTATTTACGAACGCTTTGAGAGTATTATCTTACTTATGTCTTTTCGTTGCAAACGATGGTCTATCAAGTAACATTAACATTTAACGTTACCACTAAAAAAAACTTTGTAGGGCGTACAGTATGAAATATAGAAATTATGCTGTAGATTTTACATCCAACGTAAAATTTTTGGAGATATTATGCATTTAAGAAGATAAATAAAATGACAACAAAGCTCGTTAACAAATTTTAATGTTCCTGTATCTATATTCGAAACATCTGAGCCTACAATTGAAGCCCCCAAGCAGTCTAAAGTCCCGAAAGCCCTACCGTCCGGGAATCATCATAACTATATCCACCCTTCAACAGCAACATCACCGGCAGCAAGACTGTTGCCTACACATACGAGGCCTTCTTCGTGTCCGATGGTCGATCGAAACGACGCGGTGGAGGCGCGGGCGGCGGCGGCGGTGGCGGCGGCGGCGGCAACGGTGCTGCTATACCTGACAAAGAGGCAGCCCAGCCGGACAGGCCCAAGTTCACGTGCACCGAGTGCGGCAAGCAGTACGCCACGTCGTCGAACCTGTCGCGGCACAAGCAGACGCACCGCAGCCTCGACTCCCAATCGGCCAAGAAGTGCATCCACTGCGGCAAGGCGTACGTCAGCATGCCCGCCCTGGCGATGCACGTGCTCACGCACAAGCTCGCCCACAGCTGCGGCGTCTGCGGCAAGATGTTCTCACGACCTTGGCTGCTGCAGGGTCATCTGCGCAGCCACACCGGCGAGAAGCCGTACGGATGCGCCCACTGCGGCAAGGCGTTCGCCGATCGCTCAAATCTACGGGCGCACATGCAGACGCACTCGGCCGACAAGAATTACGAGTGCTCGAGATGCCACAAGACCTTCGCCCTCAAGTCCTATCTGAACAAACACTTGGAGTCGGCGTGCCTGCGCGACGAGGAGATGCAGCAGCAACAGCAGCAGCCGCAGCATGCCAATAACAACGCCACGCAGCAGCAACAGAACACCAATCGAGGCTTGTAGCAGCGCTTCGAGAACGAGAACAACGACGCCACGAGGAGCGAGGATTTGAGAGAGAGCTAGCGGTGCCTCATAATCGCTGCTTGATCGCGAAGAAGCGCGAGGGTACGAAAAACGGAGGAGAGGATATAAGGTTTGCCGTAGATTTTAAGTAGAAAAGTGCCAGTAGAGACAGAAAAGAGAGTTAAAGAGGGAGAGAGCGCGAGAACGAGCGAAAGAGAGAAAGAAAGAAAAAGAGAGAAAGTGAGAGTGAAAAGAAGAGAGAGAGAGAGAGAGAGAGAGAGAGAGAGAGAGAGAGAGAGAGATGAGTAGAAAATTAGATGGAAAGAAAGGGAGCAAGAGAGAGGGAGAGCATGAGTTTATTAAAAATGTCTAACATTAATAAAAACGTCCAGTAATATTAAGTTATAAAAAAAGAACACGTCGAACGATGACGTCCACACTGCAGAGTCTAGTCACTCTAGTCGATTATATACCTATTACATTATATGATATTATATTATTATATTATATTATTATATACATATAGTATATATATATTTACTAGCGCGTACGATTCTAGTCCGCGAAGCTCGTTACGAAGACATTATTTATTAATACTTAGCTGCCTAAATTAAAACGGGGAGTAAAGCAAGAGATCTAGAGATTCGCCAGATCGACGATGGATCCCATAATCGCGGTTCACGAGCCGCGCTCGTCGAATCTCGATCACGGCGCGGCCTCGATCTTTCTCATTTTCGCGCTGCGCGATCGATGATCGAGGCCGATGATCACCGTAACACCGAAACACGCAGGTGTGATTGACGATCCTCCTCCCCCACGATTCGGGATTTTAATTTTTATTATTCGAGAGATTGCAAACGGAGAACCAACTGTTAATTAAATATATATTTTTAGAGAATAGCAGAAACTAATCGGAATCGATTAAAAATTACCTATCTTATTTATTACAGTTTGTCAATATTTTAACCGACGATTTTAAGCAATTTCATTACTTGGGACGAGTCAAGTATTACCAAGTATTAGCTACTTAATTTCAATAATTGCGCTATGATCGATACAATATTAATACGGTTGCTCGCACTTAAAATTATCAAGAGTAAAAAGGAGTTAACGGTTGTTCGCGGTGGACGTTCTTGTTTAATATTTCATTTGAGCCATTGGGATAGAGAAACGATGAAAGCTATAGCTAATCGATAGAGTGCGGTAACCAACGACTGCACATAGTCGAAGTATGCCACGCGCCGCGTTATCTTCAATTATATATATAAGCGAACGAGTATTCTTACTACAGATTCCGATGATGCGCGCTGGACGTTTTCATGGAACTCTTTATCTTTCCTCATATTTCATGTCGAGCCAAATCGTTAACGCACACCTGCGTATTTCGCACGATTATGCGATTTACGCGCCACGTGTAACCAGTAACACGCGCATATTTTCAGCGACTATATCGCGATATCGAATCGGCGCGAAATGGCGAAAAAATGTCGTGCGAAGTGTAGTCGCGGGTGATAGTCGCTTGCGCGAATCGACCGGTTGCGATCGCAAGGGCGCGAGCACGTGTACGAAATCGCAATAAACGGAAGTACACGTTACACACCACGTACTTAGAGCAAAATTTGAGTAATAGAATGCGTAACATTGTTATACACATATTTTATAGAAGCAATATAAGGAAAAAAAAATATGACGACACGTACGGTCAAAGCAATGTTTCGACACAACGAATTATATAATTATACATGTAGAGGCGAACACATCGAAGTTTAACGAAGTCTCGAGCAAGAACCGACGATATATGCTTAGGATGGAGAACGATCGCCCAATCCACACCCCCTGGTCTATTTCTTGTGTTAAAATTCCCGTAGAGGAATCTCGAATGTCAAAACAGTATGGATTTTTTTGTTGTAATACATAGTTTGTGCTTTTGCAATTTTAAAATTACTACTTTTAAACCACTCGATGATACTTTTAAAAATTATATTTTATTATAATATTATGTTGTATCAAATTCATGGCTCTCTATATTATTTGTAGTAATAATATGGATTGCTGTTATTGATATCAATTGATATTATACAGACAAAACTAATAAATTCTACGCAGTGCATTCTACTAATTGCATAGCTCGTGCCGCATTGGGTATTTAATCACGTTTACGAAAAAAATCGCTAATCGCATTTGCGTGATGAATATTAGACGCTGATCTACATATTGAATTATATTAGTAGAATAAATTTGTTGTATTCATTCATAATTTAATCAGCATATTACGTTGGTTATGGAACCGTATAAAAGATGATTATTAATTTCTTCATAACAATTAATTGATATTTTTATATTTCAAAATGAGGTAAAATCGATAGAATGTATCGTTGTGCATTTAATCACGAATTTAAAATAATTTTACACATTTTTTTATCCAATGAGAGAGAATAAAATCGCAATAAACGCGATCGGAGGGGTGTGGACAACACGCTTCACGTCGCCCAGTGGAAAAAAAATAATAATTGAACTAATAATAATCATTACGGCCGATGAGCAGGCGGGCGATCTGCCCGATCATTTTTTTTCTTTTGCAACGATCATATTATCAAAAAGCGAGATAACGTATTTCGCGCATGTACTTACCGTAGAAAGAACTCGCCGCCAAAAGTTGCAGGGAGAATAGAACGAACAATATTTTTCGCGTAGCTCGTTCCGAAATGGGACCGAGTCTTAGAATCGGCCGGCAATGCTTTAACGCGCAGTGGAGCTTCGTTCGACTTTTTTTTTAAATTCCATCTCGCGCAGCACTAGCCGCTAATAAATACGCCACGCTGCTATTAATGCATATATAGGCATATAAATATACGGCTATAGAGCAATAAACGATTAAGCAATACTAATTTATTCGCGTAGCATACAACGAAAATCTGCAATATTGCGCACCGCTCCCTCGACTTACGTAAGTCTCACAATTTTCTTTGGCTGTTTCTCGTTCGTACGCGTCCTGTGTTTGTCGTCGTTTATTGTATCATTTGTTTGTGCCGTATTCTTCGTTTTACGCTTATTTCTTTATATAGAGATATTGTTACTTTCTCGATTTCATAGTCATGGTATCATAATTATAATTATTTGTATTTATTATTGACAGATTGTCAAGATATTGAAATGCATGCAAAAAACAATATATTGCATTGTACATATTTATATATCGGTGATACATGAGTTATCAATTTTAAACTATTTTTATGCATTAATGCAGATTTTCATCATTGAACCTATTTTGCCCTTATATTTCTCATGTATCACATATTAATTTCTTGACGACCTCGTCGTATATTATTGACATTATTATTGTATTTATTAGATTATTTATTATTAGCATTAGTATTTATTATTATTATTACTATTATTATGCTAGTACAACGATTTGATACAACGATTGATGATACTCATGCGTTTCAAGTATAAAAACTAAAACATGTGCAATTTCCATTCTTATTTGTAAAAAATGAAAATGCCGCCGCTCCGTGCGACAAGCTACTTTATTTTAAGATAATTCCGCGGGTATAATTACTAGTCGATACACTTAAACTTCCGGATCGCGGTAATATATATGCATAATATAACATTTATATACTATACGTACACGTAAACAGAACGTCCTCACTGGAAGTAGGGATAAATCCTAAAGCAATTCCCGACACTTTATTTAAAAAAAAACAACTATCCTGTAACAGTGTTAAAGAGTTGCCATTTTATTCTATCTTATTTCGACAGAAATTGTTCACCATGTTCATCTGTTTTTAATAAATTTCATTACTTTTTATTCTAACGATCAGCTATTATTAGGAACGACAAAGAAAGAACTTACATTTGTCATCAATATTTTATCAATATTTTGCACAAGAATTCTTCTACTTTTGCAAATTATGAATTATTCATTATTAACCCAAATCTATGTATCGATTTATATCTCAAGCAATACTTAATACATAACAACATATATAATTGGCAATCACAAATTCGAACAATTGGAAAAAATTAATTGCGTATGTCTTATTTTCTCACAGAGGAACTTGTTGCTTTCGATTTTACCGCCGGTCGTGGGACATCTTGTATATAGTCGCAACTTATAGTTTCAACCGTGTATAGAGAGAATGCTCGTCGGACTTAAATGCCATTATGAAAAAAACAAACCGGAGCTTTAAAAGGGAGCTACACGATCGAAAGGGAGCATATCCAGTTGTTTTCTCACGATTTGTAGACGCGCAGTAGAAATTGAACAGCTGTGAAGCGCCGATTAGAAAAAAACGGTCGGCGGCTATAGTCATAATTAAGCGGATGGCGAGGGTTCGTTGTGGGAATTGCGTCGGTTCGTTAAACGGTCACCTAGTCAATTTCTTTCTTACTTTTTAATCCTTATTGTTACGCGACGAAGAAAAGAGTCATACCCGCTGCGGAAAATTCGTTCCCGGTAATTTATTTTTTTAACTCGTTTAAGCATAGTGATTAACGACTATAGAACGAAATCTTGTAGAGAGACAATTAAAGGATTTATTAAAATTACAAATATACCTTCCCTTCTCGCCCTTTTCAAGTAGTAGGACAATGCGATGTAACGAGCGCTGCATAATTTAAAGTTAATTATAAGGAGAAGGGACGCAAAAAGTTTTCCTGTGATCAATCTCAGTAATGATCTCCGCTAAAGATAACGATTTCATAAAATTACTCAATTCTACGCGATGATACGTGATCATCAGCTTGGTTATTATTTAAATCTATATGCGATTCTTGCTGCAAAAGTCACATCCTTACTTAATTGGAACGCCGATCTTTCTACCGCCATTAACGTCTTTAACGTTCGTAGGACTTAACGTTTTAAAAACAATCACCATACTTCTCTCGTACTTCCCTCGCTTTTCTTTCGCGGATATGTCATTGCCTTAAATGCCAACAGAGCGGCTACTCCTATAGCGAATTTCTCGAGCCTCGCCAACAGTTGGAGTCGAGGCCGAACCGTCTCGATTCAAGCTCAACCCTGTTATGTCGTGGAATCGATGTTACTTAGAGGTGCTCAAAGAAGTGTGTACAAAAACATAAGAGAAACAGAATATAGATAAACGACATTAAATTTGATGGTATATTTATTGATAACGAGAGACGAATGCGGCGAATATACTTACGATTTAGCGGGTAGGAGCTCTATCGGGCGTAGAAGTAGAAAATAAATGCGTTTCATAGCCAATGCTCTTGTGTAAATA